TTCTCGCCACGTATCAATCAAGGGGAGACAAAAGTTCAATCTAACGTCACTAGCGAATCGACCAAGCCAAGTACAAGTCGCCGCTATACTATGGCGCCCAAGATCCTCGCGTTTCTAGCGACGCTGCTATTGTGCTGCGTCGTCTCAGCCACGGGCCAAGACGCGGCCCCTGTCGCCATCAAGGCGCACGCCAGCCACATCCTCGTGGACACGGAGGCCGAGGCCGACGACCTGAGTGTGCAGCTGGGCGAGGCCTCTAACCTCTTCCTTAAGTTTGCGCAACTCGCCAAGGAGCACAGCAAATGCCCATCCAGTCGCAAGGGCGGTGACTTGGGTACGTTTGACCGCGGCCAGATGGTGCCGGAGTTCGACAAGGTTGCCTTTGAGGGCGAGATCGGCATTGTGCACAAGGTTAAGACCCAGTTTGGCTGGCATCTTGTGCTTATCTCCCGTCGTCTGGACGGCACGGAGGAGCCGGACAAGTACCGCGATCTCAAGCAGATGCTGCTTAAGATCATGCCCTTCCTTGGCCCCATTATCCTCATCTTTATCATGGCTCTTGGAGCCCGTGGCAGCAAGGGCGGACCTCGTGCCCACGCGTACCATATCCTGGTGAAATCTGAGGAAGAGGCTGATAAATTGTTCAAGGAGATCGACGCTGCAGAGGACAAAAAGACCATATTGTCGGAATTGGCAGGAAAGCACAGCACTTGTCCCTCGGGCAAGAAGGGGGGAGACCTGGGCATGTTTGGACGTGGCGAGATGGTGCCGCAGTTTGACAAGGTGGTGTTCGAAGGAGAAGTGGGCAAGCTCGCCAAGGTGCAGACTCAATTCGGGTGGCATGTACTGCTCTGCACGGAGCGTCTAGGAGACAAGAAGTCCAAGTAAGCGCCGGAGACTAGCACAAAATTTAGATAAATGGAGATATTTCATTTTTCTGGATGATGTAATGCCCATTTAGTGAAATTTGAGACAGAAAAAAAGGCGGCAATGTATAATTCACTTCTGCTACAGATAGACTCTTGTCAATCCCATTGTACACAATTGATCCAGTACTTTTGGTGTGGGAATTGTCCAATACTTAAGTAGACTAGAAGCCGTCGTTCGCTGAGCTAAACCTTCAAATCTGAACTCTTCATCACTTTGTAGCAATTGAGGTTGAGTTCTGACGGTCAAATTCATGACTTAGCGCTTGAATTCGCCAGTTGACTCGGTTACTTAGGTGTTTAGAATCGGACACTGAGAACTCAACTAATCCACTTTTGCATGTCATCGTGGTTACTTTTTAAAATACACCCCAAAGCACCCCCTGGTTGACCCTAGCCACCACTGCCTCCCCCAAAAAGGGAGCACCTCGGTTTGCTCGGTTTGAGGCAGTCCTAGGTCTGAGCCCGCGTGCCGATCTCAGACACCAAGTTGCGCTCTACGTGGGATCAATCCAAGCCTATAATTGTAAACTAGCCAACTGGACTTTTCGATATTTTGGTTATAGCCAGATGTAACCACCAAATCTGCAAAACTATCCAATTGAAAAAATAATTTTGCAAGTGTCCCGTTAAAAATTCAAAAATAACCAGTTCAAAACTAGTTGCCATACCAAAATTTATCCGACTTCCGACGTTTCCGACGCTGTGTGTGGATTTGTATGTAATACAAAAGCAAGTATATTAACAGAAGAAAGTATGGTCATACAATTTTGTTGT